AGCACTGTGGCTATAAAGCTAGTTCTGGGACCCCAAGCCCCTTCCTCAGCACCTCTGGGGAAGTTCTCACTGTATGCCCTCCAACAATGAATGGAGACCACTTTTATTGCCGTGCCCTGCAGCCTCGGGCGCTGTGCCCTTGGCCAGTCTGCCTTCTTTCCCGGTGCCTCCGTGCCTGGCCTCACTGGTGGCCCAGGAGGCGTGTAGGGGCTCTGGCCCTCACTGCTCGTCCTCGGGCGCGACTCCCTTGCTCTGGAGGGAGAGGTGGCCCGAGTAGCCCTGGCAGTGCCCTTCCTCATGTGCCTGTTGCCCTGGGGCTGGGTCACCGACTCCAGGGCCTTTCGGGGGCCAGGATGCAGGAACCGGGCTGGGGTGCCTGTGTCAGGACACTCGGGTGGTGGGGACCACCGTGGCCATGTGCCCAGTGTCGTCAGATCTTTCCATTTTTCAAAAGAAGCTAGAAATCCAGATTGTGTGTGTGTGTAATTTGTAATGTTGGCAACTAATCTGAAATTAAATCGAGGGCAGGCTGAATGTATCCTGGGTTCTCCGGTTTGCTGCCTCGGGGCCATGCGGTGGGGCCGCTGTGTGGGAGGACGGGCCTTGTCATGTTGCGCCCTCTGGCCTCAGGTTCCGGAGGGCGTGTGGACACAGGCTTCCCATGGAATATTCCTGAACCAGCCCTTGATCTGGGCCCCCTCCCTGATCTGTTTGAGGCTGCAGGTGGAGTTTACCCTACAAACCCAAACTTGGGTCACGTGGCCTGCAGGGTTATATGACTCCCGGGTGGGAGGGCTGCTGGACATTTTCAAAATATTTTGATTTACGGAGACGGGAAATGACAGACTGCCGGGGATCAGAGGGCTGGTGATTGCCAAAGCCGTGGGGGCCGCGCAGCGTGCCCGGCCCGGGCTGCCGTGCTGGGCAGACGCCTCCTTTGAGGCTGGGCCTCACAGGTGATGGTCAGAGCTGAGGCCGGGGCCGGAACCGTGGGTTTAGTGGAAAGACCCAAAGCTGACTTAACCCTGAGTCGGCTGCTTGCTAGAGACGTGACCTTGGTTTTTGCAGCGTGTTGAGCCTCCGTTTTCACGCTGGGATGATGAACCTTTTTGGGGGGACGGGGGTATGGAGAGAATGACTGCGAAAGGAATCCAGCACCTGCCACAGTGCCCACTATGGGGCGCTCAAGAGTTCGTTCCCATGTCCACTTGAAATATGCAAACAGCTGGAAACATGCTTGAAAAAGTCTAACTCCTTGAACAAATAAGCCTTATCCCTCTGGAAACAAAACGGTGTGTGTAATGTGTCATGACCTGCATTAAATGTGTTTTATTGGCCAATTCATCGTAGTGGTTAAACATTTGCCTGAGGCTGTAAGAAGTCAAAGAAGCAGGCCCTGAGACAGGTAGGAAGAAAGGAGCCATGTTCATTCCCGAGTTCAGAAGACTAGCCATGGGGACACAGCGCGGCAGGTGGTGGGACTCGGGCCTGTGGCTGCCCTTAGACGTCTGTCCACGATGGGGAGACAGGCCTGGCCTTCACTCTGAATGGGGCTCTTTCCCCAAGGGGAAAGAGTCAAAGCCGTGTGTGTGTGTGTGTGTGTGTGTGTGTGTGTGTGTGTACCCCTGGGTGCAGTCTCGGGAAGAATCAACTCATTCTCTGACGTCCATTTTATAGGGTGCTGTGTATGCCCGGGTAGCCTGCACCCTAGGCCAGGGCAGTGCTGTATGACCATCTGACATGGCTGGAGGCCTGAGTGGGTGGGCTGACCTGGGCATGACCCTGCTTGGCAACGGGGTGGGCTCCAGTGGTCAAGGCTGGGGAGACGGATCAGGCGGTGGCCAGAGCCTTCCTGAGTTCCTTGCTCCTCTGGTGGTCAATGTCCTCCATTTCCCGTAGTTTCTGCAAGGGCCGCAGGGAAAGCTGGGCATCAGGGCAGGAGCTCCAGGCGCCAACACAGACGAGGCCAGAGCTGGACTCCGCCAGCCTCGGCCATAGCTGGCCCTTTCTTTCCACTCAGACCTCATACTTCTCACGGTGCCATGTCCCCGCCACCGCCTGCGGCTGCCCCTACCTGGGAGATCTCCGTGAGGATGAGCCCTCGGTACTGTCTGGCCCGGCCCAGGGCCTCCATCTCAGCCAGGAAGTCTTTCCTCTCCTGGATCTCCTTGACCACTGGATAGAGAGAACGGTGGTCATTGCTCAGGGCGATGGGGGCCGTCAGGCTCCTGGGAGGGGTGCGGGGGCAGGGACTGCCTCTTGGGGGAGGAAGCAGTTCTGTGGTCAGACATTGTGTCTCGCTAGTTAGCCCTCAGGGGTCAACCCCTCCCGGTCCTGGGCCCCTCACCCCCCTCCCCGGCGCCAACTGGCCCATCCGGGCTCACGTTCTTCAAACCGGTCCGGCTCGGGGGCTGGGTCCTTCCGCTGCACAGCACGGGGCTTCCTTTTCCGCTCCTCCTTATCCTTCCCCGTTGCAAAGATGTCTTGGAGTCTTCGCTTCTCCTTCTCCAGATCTCCTGTAAGGCCCAGAAAAGGCCTCGTTAAGGCATGGAGGGCACCCCGGTTCATGGCCGGCGTTCCCAACTGGGCATGCTCGCTCCAAGGTGCCCGGGGAACATGGAGGCGGCTTCTGCAATCCTGGGACCTTCTAGCCACGTGCTCCTGAGCCTGCCTTGTCAAGATAGGCAGGGAAAGGGATGGAAAGAACCAAGAAGAGAGCTTCGTCAGAACCCACACACGGCTTTGGTGCAGAGCAAGGCTAAGGAAACCCAGTGACCGCCGCATGGCGGCCTGTGTGCAGTGTAGCGGGGTCTGGGCCCAGAGTTCTGTGACGTGCCAGGGAGGAAGGGGCTGAGGGCTCCCTGGAGCAGGCTGGGGTGCAGAGAGCTCTGGATTTGAGGCACCGTGTCAGCCTGAGAGAGCCGTGGCCATGAGGTCTGACGGCCGGCCACTCATCAGAGATGGAGAGAATCCAGTTAATTGTTGAAGAGCATTCTGGAAAATTTTTGAAAAAGGACAACCTGTCTTCTGCTACACCCTGAACGCTCCCCGGCTAACGTGCCAAGGCTCAAGAGCATTGGCGCCAACAGCGGGGGAATCTGAGTAGATTCGTGCTCACCTGCTCTACTCATCTCCCCGCACCCTCCTGCCCCTCGTGGACGGGGGTACAGAGGGGCTCTGGTCCAGGCCCTCTCACTTACGGGTGGCTCGAGGCTTGAACTGCTCCCGGCTGTAGGCCCCATTGGCCTGGCACATGCTGGCAGGCCGGAGCTGGGACCGGGCCGCCAGGATGGGAGGCAGGCAGACGGCTGAGGCCGGCTGCTTGGCAGGCAAGACCCTCTGGCTGGATGTCGGGCTGCAGTACAGGGGCAGAGCTTCTCCTTCTGGGGAGGAAAAGGTTGGGGTGGGGGGTCCCCTGGATTTGTATCCATTTATAAATTGGCACCTTTTATAATGAGGCTAACAGTGCAGAAGAGTCTTCCCTCCTCCCTCCCAGCCCCCCTCTGCAATCGTAGCAATTTGGCGGTCTCGACCGTTCTGTACGATACTATATAAACCTGCTCATACAATGCACCACACTGTGCTATATTCCATAGTAGACTCTTCACTTAACAGTGTATCACGGATCTCTTTCCAGATCACTCCATTTGCATGTAACTTATTTTTTAAAATATATTTTTATTGATATTTTACAGAGAGGAAGGGAAAAGGATAGAGAGCTAGAAACATTGATCAGCTGCCTCCTGCACACCCCCCACTGGGGATGTGCCCAAAACCAAGGTACATGCCCTTGACTGGAATCGAACCTGGGACCCTTTAGTCCGCAGGCCGACGCTCTACCCACTGAGCTAAACCCGTCAGGGCCATGGAACTTATTTTTTACAGCTGCATATAGTCCTTACGATGGCTACATCATATATTCAACTAGTCTCCGCATTTCAGAAATTCAGGCTGTTTTTATTTTATTTTTACTACTTCAAACAACACTGCCATAAACATTCTTGCACACCAAGCCTTCGTACTGGTGCTTTTATTTCGATAGATGGACTCCTAAAACCTGCTTGGTCCACAGGGAAGGAGGGATGGTTTGGATGGTAACAGACACAAGTCTGTCTCACTGCTCCGGCCCAGACCTGGGGATCCTCCGCTAGGCCGGCCCTGTTTGGTTCTGGCCCCTGTCTACCTATTCCACCTTCTTCTATCATCCACCCGGCGAATACGTAATGAGCATCTACTCTGTGCCAGGCCCGACCACTGGGGGTAAAGTGGTAAGAAAGACAAAGTCTTGCCTTCGTGGTGCCTGCATCTGGGGTGTGGAATAAGGGAAAATAAAATACGTAGTATGTTAGGTGGTGGAGCGTACAGTGTGTGACAGCAGGATTCACAATTTAAGTAGGGTGGCCAGGGACGCCCTCATGAAGAGAAAAGACCCAACAGTGGTGAGCGGCCAGCTCTGCAGATATTTCAGGGAAGAGCATTGGAGACGGGAAGCAGCGAGAGCAAAGGCCCTGAGGTGGGAATGTGCCTGGAATGTCTGAGGAACAGCCAGGAGGCGAGGGTGCCAGGAAAGTCGTGAGCAAGGGGGATGTAGTGGGAGTAGAGGTCAGAGGTCATGGAAGACAGGAGAAGGACAGGGCCCTGTAGGCCTCTGGAAAGACTGGCTCTTACTTTGTGTGAGGTTGGAAGCCATCGGAGGGTTCTGAGCAGAGGAATGACATGATCCTCTTGGTTGCTGTTGAAAATATAATACAGTATTGGGGGCCAAGGGCAGAGGCGGCCAGGATATGGGCTGAAGGTCAAGCGATGGGCTGGCTGATGGGTCAGATGTGGGGTCTGGAAGGACGGAGCTGCCAGTGTTTCGCATTGACCTTCCCTTCACACGGCGCTCTGCATCTCTCTTCTAAAGTGATGCTGTGCTTCCTAGAACGTCCCCCTGCTCCCTCTGCCCTCTATCTCTGCCTGTCCAGTGCCAGATGCTCCCTCTTCCTTTGGTCCATTCTCAGCAAATAATTATGGCCCGGGTAATTCTGGGAGTTCAGGTAAAGGAGAGAAATTTGTGGCTTGCAACAGAATTTGAAACAAGGCTCAGAACAACAGTAGGATTTGAATAAGAGGAGAGAAGTAAAGAGAGTCTAGAAGAAAGCAGATTCAACAGCAATGCTTGGAGGCAATTAAAAAACCCAAACCTCTAAGGCAGTGGTTCTCAACCTTCTGGCCCTTTAAATACAGTTCCTCATGTTGTGACCCAACCATAAAATTATTTTCGTTGCTACTTCATAACTGTAATGTTGCTACTGTTATGAATCGTCATGTAAATATCTGATATGCAGGATGGTCTTAGGCGACCCCTGTGAAAGGTTGAGAACCGCTGCTCTAAGGGGAATAACGCTGCCAGGTGAGCCAGTTACTGGTGTTGGCCTAACCACTAATCCTTCAATAAATATTGAGCACCGAGGTGCTGGGGCTACCCCGGTGAACAAGGCCGACGTAATCCTTGGTCTTCTGGCATTGACTTTCAGTGGAATTCTAGGACAGTCTCTGTAGTATGTGACAGGGGACACCACTGATTAGTATGCTGCTGACTATGGAGACTCAGTTATGACTCAGATGTGCTATGGCACTCGGCTCTGGCAGCCTCAGATGCCCTTGCCCACAATAAGGAAGGACATCTGACCCATGACCTGGCCTGATGGATCCTCCCTCCCTCCTCAGTCAGTGCTGAACAGATGCTGCCTTTATCTGCCTCCCTGACTCTCCCTTCCCTTTGCTTCTGTGGTTAATCAGATGCCCTCCCGATACACACATTCTTTCTTTGGAGAAGGCGATAGCTTTCGATAGAATCAAGTAAAATTGTCAAGCTTGCTCTGGCTCTCTCTCTCTTTCTCTCTCTCTCTCTCTCTTATTGATTTGAGAGAGAGAAAGGGAGAGAGAACCATCAATGGATGCTCCCGACTGGGGATCGAACCTGCCACCTTTTGGTGTACCCGATGCCGTTCCCACCAAGTGAGCCACACCAGCCAGGGCTGGCATTCTGTCTCTTAAAGGCAACTGTCCAGGTCTCTGTTCTGATCCATTACATGTTGATTCAGTTGAATCTCAGAAAGTGAAGTTGCTTACAAGATCTTAGTGCCCCCCCAAAATACTACAATTTGTGGTCAGAGGTGAGCCATGCAAAGGCTTTGCATAGTCCTCCCAAGTTGGAATTCTGCCCATTTTCTTGTTTCTGCTAGCTAAGCTATGAATGGATAAAACAACAAGACACATACATACACAGTTCTCTCCTCGGGGGAGCTCATATGGTATGTGTGTAACAGGGAGGAACAGATTGCAGACATGACAGTTTTGAGACGATTTTGGCTGGGCAAGAAGTTCTAATTGCTCTGTGATCTCTTGGGGAGGTTGGCTAGAGCAGGACTGCAGGAAGCTGGTTGTGCCAGGACGAATGTCAGGAGGGAGTAACAAAGGCCCCTCAAGGTCAATTCCCCAGGGGCAAGATAAAAAATACTACGCTGTACTGTTTTGGTCTTTGAAAAGGATGCCCACTACTCCTTAAGACGGAGGAGCACTAAAAAGGTGGCCCAGAACCCCTCTGTCCAGCAAGCCTCTGTGGACTGACCCTTACTTTTCATGGTGTCCATGATGTGTCGCTGTTGGAACTTAGTCAGTTTGGATTCCTTCATCATCACTGCAAGAGAAAGCACTTGAGTCAGGCCACCTGGGCTGCGGGCAGAAGCCTTCATCTCTCACCACTGAAATGCAAAATTGTCACCTCCTCCCACCATTCTGCACCCAAGCACTCCCTCGCTTACTCTCCTGCTTTGCTTTTTCCTGTAGCACTCGTCACCATCTAAGCTCTATAGACTTTGTTACCCTCCCACTAAAATATTTGCTCCATGAGAGCAAAAATTGTTGCTGTTTTTTTTTTTTCTTTTTTTTAATGCTGTATCCTCACCACCTAGAACACAGCACATAGTGGGCTTTTTAATGTTTTTCATTGAATGAAGGAATGCATAAATGAATGAATGAGAAAGTATTCATTAAGCATGTGTCAGGCACTGGAGCTACAACAGGGAGCCAAAACAGGAACAACCGTACCCTGATGGAGTTCCCGGGCTAGAGGTGTAGGATACTGATCCAATGAGACACGCTGAATATCTGACTACAGGTTATGCTGAGTCCAATGAAGAAAAGGTATTTGGTAAGGTGAGGGCACATAACAGTTGTTGTTGTTGGTGGGGGTCGGGGGGGAGATAAGGCTTCCCTGGGAGGAAACAGAAAGTTCCATCTAAGGAATGCACAAGAATGATCTACTCTGAAATCCTTTATTCTTTGACTTTTAGCCACTTGCAAGTAAGTTGTAGGACCTGAACCTTCCTGAACCCAAAGCTTCTCCTCTGTAAAATGAAAATAGCAATGACGAAGCCACAGGTCACGTAGGGGAGACCTGAGTTTCAGAGGATAACTGCTACCGCCGCTCTTACCCTGTCCTTTAAGCGTAGTACTAACCTCTGAGGAGCTCGCAGGTTCCAAGGGTGTAAGTGGTCTGCTTGGGGCAGCGACAGAAGCCCGTTCCTTTGGTCACTGCCTTTACCCTATCCTGGGAAGCCATGGGAGGGCTCTGGGGAGGATAAAGGCGCAGAGTGACACAGCCGTCTCCCAGGTCCAATCTCTACTCCAGCCCCCCCCCCCGCCCCGCCCCCAGCCCAACACCAGGAAAGTCTGGGAGCAGTCCAGTCCTATTAGAATTGTGACGCCGCCCTCCACTATTGCGACAGTGCCCTATCCTTCCACCCGAGCAGATACGCAGGCAGATGCACACACGTGAACAGAGAGCTCATCTTGACCCGGTGTCTGTGGCAGGAAGGCCCTAGGAAGGGGCCTCCGATAGCCGTGCTCACGACAGTGCCTTAGGTGTTACGCCCAAATTGAAACCTCACCCTAAAGTAAGACGCAGGTTGGGTGGGGCCCCACGCAGACAGCGGCGGCTGGGACCCACCCCGCCCCCAGCGGTGGCTGGGCTCCGAGAACCGAAGACCGTAATCACGGTTCTACCGTGGCACCGCGCGGAGGCCCAGCGGAAATACTCTGAGATCCTGGTGTACAGAGCGGGCTGCTAGACGCTCTGGCTACCATGGTAACGAGCGCGCCAGCGATTCGGCGCATGCGCGCACACCTACCGCACGGGCCCTCCTTCTGGTAGTGATTGCTTCCGGGTTACCGCGCAGGCGCAGAGAACGCGTGGCGCTGAGCGAGGCGGAGGCGCGCGGTTAGTGGGTCTCCGCGCACGGGTTCGGGGCGCGGAGCCGGGTCGCTGCGGCGCGGGCGTCATGTCAGACAACGAGGACAAGTGAGTGCGGGAGCGAAGTGGTCTTTGCGTATCCTCGGCAGGGGCGGGTGAAGCGGGAATCTGGGTCGAGGGAGGCTGAGGAGCCAGGAGTCGAGGAGCAGAATCTGAGGGGACCTGGGCTGCTGAGGGGGCCCGCGGTGCTGGAGCCGCGAGGGCGGAGAGCATAGCCCGAGGTTGGGCACAGAAAGGCTCGGGCTCGAGGGTCCAGGGAGGATCAGTGCACAGGTGCCTTCAGCCGACTTCCGCCGAGCCGGGCGCTGTGCCTTGTTTGGGACCATTGCGGTGCATTAGGCATAATCCCCGATCCCCACGTGCTCCCTTTTCTAGAGAGCGGACGGCCCATGGACAGATGCGACAGCATCCTGTGAGCTGAGGCAGGGCCTCGAATAAAGTCGTTGTGTTTGCGTCGATGAGATGCTGTAGGAACGGCACTCCTGCCTGTATCAGCCGATGGTAGCGTGGGTTTCCGCACGTTGTTCTGCTTCAAGTCGCAGGAGCTGTCCACGATGTTTAAGTGAGGACCTGCTCTGCAGAAGCACCGCAGGGGTGAGGAAGGCCTGGCGGGTGCCGTCGCCTGGCTGAGAGAAGGCGGTGGCTTTGAGTTCCGGATTTATTTTGAAGCGAGGGCCAGAATGATGATCTGATGTGTGTCGGGGGGGTCCAAGGAAAAGGTCTGTTCTGAAGATGAAAATAGGGGCTTGGTCAGCATAAGCATATTATTCCAAAGGAAGAAGCAAGTGAGGTCATCAGGGGAGTGTCCGTGGAGAAGAGGAGGTGCCTGCTGGACCCTGGGCCTGAGCCTTTCTGTGCCCACCCTCGGTTGATGCTTTTGGCTCCCACCCTTCCTGCTCGCTGGGCCCCATGGGCAGTTAGAGCATCCCAGGAGGGGTGCTTGGGGTGCGGGGAAGAGGGGAAACCTGCCGAGGAGACTGGGAAGGAGCAGCCAGTGAGGGGGACACACCAAGAGAGTGAGGAGAGGGCATTGAGGGAGAGGGAGTGGCCTAGGGTGCCAACTGGGAGGCCAAGCTCAGTGAGAACATGAACAGTCCATTGGATTTAGCAACACGGACATCATTAACGCGCTCGAAAGAAGCAGTGGTTTTGAGGGAGTTATGGCGGTGGGTATCTTTTTGGAGTGAAATTACGACAGAATAAGAAGAGAAGAATGGGAATCCGTGACGTTAGACAACTCTTCCATGAATTTTGCTCCCAAGGGGAGCATGGAAATGGGCTTTATGGGGAGAGCATAGAGAAGTTTTGTCTGTTTTTTAAGGTGGGGCAGTAACTACCTGTTTACATGCTGATGGGAATGACCCAGTAGAGAGAGGAAAGAAACAGTGAGGATGCATGAGTCCTGGCACAATTTGCGGGGCTGATGGGAGTAGGTTTGAACACAGTGTGATTCACTCATTAAGTAGATATTTATCGAGCACCCCCTCAGTGGTGGCTGAGACACCCCATGCCCTCTTTGATTCGATTAAGTGATGCTCTAACTAACTGGTCTCTTCTTGGACAGTTTTGATGGCGACGACTTTGATGATGTGGAGGAGGACGAAGGACTGGATGACTTGGAGAATGCTGAGGAGGTCAGTAGTTAACCCTGGGCTCTCTAATGCAGCCCAGGCTGCCAGATGGCCTGGCCAGTGATAACTCCCCGAATGCACCTGCCTCCTGTTTGTGCCCCTGCCACAAGCACCCCCAGTTAGAGTGAGCAGAGTTCCAGTCCTGGGTGGTGGAGAAGCTCTACAGGGTGGGTCCCAAGGCTTTTGTCCATTCGGATCACAGCCTGGGACAGTTAGTTCACTGATAGGTGAAATGTTACCTTCATTCATTCAGCAAAGGTGTTGAATGTTTATTATGCGCCAGGTGCTCTGCAGGGTGGGGGTAGGTACATAGGAGCAAGGGGGAGGGTGACCTGGGATAAAGCTGGAAGAGAAGGTCCCAGATCAGGCAGATTTCATAGCCTAAAGGTAGCGGGAAGCCACTGAGGAGTTTCGAGCAAGGGAGTGGCATGATCCGGTTTGCACTTTAGAAGAGCATTCTGGCCTCAGAGTAAGGAGGGAATTGGGGAGAAACAAGAATAAAAGAGAGAGACCAACTAGGGAGCTCTCATAGACCTCCGGGGAGAGGCCTGTAGCTTGGACTTGGGCACTGCTAGTGTCAGTGATGAGAAACAGATGAAAGATATTTTGGTGGATTGGCTATGGGCTGAGAAAGTGGGGGATGACAAGGATGACTCCTAGGCTTCTGGCTTGAGCGGCTAGAATGAAATAGGGCTCTCCCTCTTGCGTGACTGATGCAGGAAGAGGTGCTTTATGTCTCCTGGACAGAGTGGTCCCTTGACGTTCGTAGGCTTGGAAGCTGAAGCCCCTCTTTGAATTTTCTCTCCCAGGTACCTGTTCACTGTGTCAGACACCTCCTTCCCCACCCTTCCGGTCCCCTTCCATTCCTGTCCTGTCAGCTTTGCCTCCTACCTGTGGGTTAGCTCTGGTCCCTTTTACATACCTAGGGCTCAGCCTGGTTTAGAGCTTTATTGTTTTTCACCATCATTACTGCAGAAATTGTGTTCCTGGTTTTCCTGCCTTCAGTCTGCCCTGATTGCCTTTCTGCTGCCAGTCATCTGTCTTACCTGCCCACGTGATTGATTACTGTTGGTCTTCCTTAAAATGGTCTCTCTGCTTCTGCCCTTGCCCCTCAGAATATTCTCAACAGAGTACCCAGAGTGGTCATTTTAAATGTTAAGTCAGATTGTGTCTCTGTTCTGCTCAGAACCCTCATCCAGTGGTTTCCCATTCCATTCATAGTAATTGCCAAAAAGATGTCCAAGGTTCTCCATGACCTGGCCACTCGCTCCCTCTGTGACCTTATCTCTTCTTGCTGTCCCTGTCATGCCAGGCAGATTCCTGCTTAGGACCTTTGATCATGCTGTTTCCTCTTCCAGAAACACTTTTCCCTAAGATATCCCCATACCTGCTTCTCGCCTCCTTCAGGTCTGTCCAGGTCATCTCACTGAGGCCTCCTGTGACCATCCTATTGAACTTGCAGCATCCTCCCCTTCCTTCCACATCACTGCCCTGGCACTTCCTGTCTTTTTTCTCTGTTGTCATACTGTACACTTTACTTATTAATTTTATTATCTCTTCTCATTATAATATAAGCTCCATAGGGGGATAATTTTTTTTTTTTTAATCATAACACATTTTATTTTGTAGAAACACCTGTCAGTAAATTTCTGGTCAAATACTTTCATCAGCGTTTTCATTTATGACATTTTATTTGAGAAATTTCAGTATGGATTTAACCAGACATATAAATCACGCGAGGTGAAATGATTCTCTCTTCCATTTTGTCCCACATCAGGAGCTGGCGTTTGTGTTGACTCTGTTGCTGATAGCTTCACGTCTTTGAGCAGATAACTGTCTGTCCCTGTTCTGTCTGGAAAATGGGCCATTTGAGCTAAAGGATGTCCAGGTCCTTTGACTGTTAAATTGTCTACACAGTCTCCATGTGGCCTCCACTTTCAGTCCTAGGGTATCAGGGTTCTCTCCAGTGAGTCTTCTGCTGATTATTCGGGAAGTTTTTCTGTATTTTAGTGTATTTCCAGTTTGTTCCTGGGAGCATATCCATGCAGCATCCACTCACTCTGCTGCCATTTTTAATCTCTATGTAGGGGAACAATTTTTATGTCTTCCTGCTCTGTCCCGAGAACTTAGAACACTACCTGATATGTAGTAAACACTCAGTAAATATTTGTTGACTTAATTCTTTATTATAGAATTTATTCTCCTGCCTACGACCCTATGTGCACCTTTGCTCTAATCATACTCCACAATTAGTTGTCTAAACCTAGTGCATTCTCTCCCTCCTCTGTGCTTTGGACATGCAGTTCAACGTGTCTCCATGTCCTTCCCTTCCGTTGGCTTGGGAACGCCAATGAATTCTTCTACACTAGTTCCAGTCTCATCTCTGGACTGTCTTCCTAACCCCCGCATGAGTCAGATGACCCTCACCTGCTTGTTAACTTTGCTGCATACCTTCAAAGCACTGCTGTTCTGTTTACTCTTTCTCCTTCCCTGACTATGAATTCTTTGAGAGCAGAAACTCTTAGCTTTCTGTCTCAGCACCTATTATGATGTCTGGCATGTGACAAATGCTTCATAAGTAATTGTTATATATATGTGTGTGTGTGTGTGTGTGTGTAAAAATGTTTGCTGGTTTCTGCCTTCACTGACTTTTTAGCTCCTTGACCCATTGACTCAGTTATCCTGCCTGAAGATGGGATGCTTGCTCCTCGCTTCCTGCTTAGGGTGATTTGTCGTCTGTGCTCAGGGCTTCTTTGTATGGGGCCACGGTTCTGGGACAACCCCATCTCTGGACCCTCCGCTTCTCTCTTCTGGACGAGGCAGCTGCAGCTGGCTTGGAATCCTGATCACGATTCTTCTCTCTTACTAGGTCTGAGACTTTGGCCAGTTCGCTGACTCTCCAAGCCTCTAAAATGGCACTGTAATCCCTACCTCATGAGGTTGTTGTGGGATTAAATGAGGTGTCAGTAAGGCAGCTGCATGGTTGCTGGGGAGTGACAAGCAGTGGTGGTGGCGGTGGCTATTATCGTGGGCATCGCCATCCCCCCCCTCACTCAGTAAGGCGCCCTGAGACTTTCCCTCTTTCTGCCTTGGTGTCCAGGAGGGCCAGGAGAACGTTGAGATCCTCCCCTCTGGAGAGCGACCGCAGGCCAACCAGAAGCGGATCACCACACCATATATGACCAAGTATGAGCGAGCCCGCGTGCTGGGCACCCGAGCCCTCCAGATCGCGTGAGTGTGTGCCCCTTTCCTGCCTTTTCCGTCCGTCAGGCCACAGTGAGCTCCGAGCTGTTGATGCGGCCCAGCCTGGCACCTAGAAACAGACTCTCCCTGCTTCCACATGCTGAAAGTGTGGGTTTAGAGAGCCCTAGACCACTGTGGGCCAGTTAGTGGGCGGCTGTGGCACCCCCATTGGGCTTATGGTGGTTCTTGACCATGGCCAGCCCGGAGGAGTAGGCGAGCCCTCCATGTAGAGGCCATGCTAGAGATGTGAAAACAGAACAGTGATGGGGTTCTGGGGATTTGAAATTAGCAGACTTGCCTTTATCTTCCAAGTCTGAAACCAGTTGAAGAATAACAAGGTTCAGGAGATAGTCACCGGGTAGGCGGAGATGCAAATGTCTGAGGAGTGCCTGCTCCGACAGTGCAGGCCTCGCGGCTGTCTGCAGGGGCAAGCCTGCCTTCGAAGGTTGCCAGGCCCCTCTCTGCAGGCAGGTGGCTTTCAGAGAGCAGGGACTCCCCCAAAAGCTAGGCCACAGATGCCTGTTTTCCCCCCTCAGGCTCCCTGTCAGATACGTCACTCCTCCTCCCTGGGGAGGAGTAAGTCGGGGGACAGAGAGGGCAGGTTGGGACTGTTGCTCTCATGAAGGTCTCCTAAAGGAGCCCTCCCCAGACCTCTTACGAGCCCGTGTGCAAGTATTTCTGGCAGTTGGGCTGCTTCAAGTAGGGAGTATTGGACACTAGGGCAGAAAGGAAGCTGGGGCCAGCGTGTGGAGGTCGCGTGCTGGAGGAGCACGTGTCCCCGTCCTAGTTTTCACTCAGCTTGGGACTTGATCTCCTCCCGTGGTGAAGATGGCCACCGTGTGCACCTCGATAAAGGGCTTTATGGTCGGGCAACATTGCTCCTCATCCGCTCCGCAGCAGCAGACCTCTTGCTGGCCTGGGAGAAATCAGAGCCGCGATCCATGTGGTCATTTTGGGATCTTTGGGTCCGGATCCTCTAGGCCGCCATGAATTATGGTAGCTGCTATCTACATGTGGCCATTTAATTTTAAATAAAGTAAAATGAAAAGTTCAGCGTTTGGGTTCACCAGCCACATTTTACATATTCAGTGGTCACCTGTGGCTGTGGTTTCCATAATGGATAGTGCAGACAGAAGACACTTCCATTGCTGCAAAGCAATTTATTGCTGCTCTAGTGCTCATCTCTGCTAAAAATGACCCGGCAGGAAGAATAATGCATCAATGATTTTTTCAAGTAAGTTAAGTCTTTCAAACACTGAATAAGATACTGTGCTTGTACCTGCCGGGGTGTGAAGATAGACACAGTCCTCCTGTCTTCCGGGTGTTTATAGCCCGGGGGGAGGTGGACCCCGTCACAAATACCCAGAACCCAAGGCAGGCAGGTGTGGAGCTTTGTAAGAGGCACAAAAGGGGAGGAGGGAGTGAACTGCAGAGGAGGAGAGAGTTCAGGGGGGACAGGAAAGGCGGTGTCCCCGGGAACAGAAACAGCATGAGGCAAGGTCCACGTGTGGCTTGTGGTGGGGAACGGCCAGTGGCTTGGGACACAAGACTGGAAAAGATGTCACGGAGCCTCGAGCAGAAGATGGGTGTGCGGTTGGTGGGCCGTGGGCAGCACAAAAAAGTGTGGAGACAGACATTCAGAGCATGCTGAGTCCAGGACCTGCTTTTCTTCGGAACAAGGCATGGTCCCACGTAGCTGGGTCTGTAGTGCTCCTTCCAGTGGAGGGGTAGGCCGCTGTCCGGCGGTTCCCTGCCTGCTGTGAGTGGTGGACAGCAGGGCTGTAGCTTATCCCTAGCACCAGGCATGCGGCCCTGCAGTGAGGTGCTGAACGAACATTTCTAGGGTAGTTTTTGGATGAAGTCGCACTCCTTTCCTTAGCACCACCTAGTGGCGACGTGAACTACAGCCACTTCCTAAGAATCATTACTGTGTTCTTTTATGGTGTCTCGGGTGCAGACAAATTACCTAAGGACACACTCTCACGCTTAGCACATTGCATGCACACAGCAGGGCTGGATGAATGAATGCTCTTTAATTATTCATATCTGGAAATAAAGAAGGCATATGCCACATTCTGTAAAGCTTCAACACTTACTGAGAGAGGATATAGGGCAAGTTAAACACTTGGTCTCTGCCCTTGGGAAATTTTCAGGCTTTTGGGAGTAATAAAGTATTTAGTAACAAAATTAGTGAATTATCTGGTGTAAACTGGTGGCTCTTGCACTGGCTGATTACCAGAGTCAGCAGGGAGCTTTGTAAATGCAGGTTCTCAGGCCCCCTCACTAGAGAGTCTATTCCGAGGGTCTGGAAAAGGGTCCTGGGACCCTGACTTTAGTGTACTCTCCTGGTAACTCTGATGATCAGGTTTCGGATCTATTAGGGTAAACCTGAGCTAGAATCATTAGGTGGCTTCCTGGAGGAGGTGGGCCGGGAACTGGCACCCCTCCCAGTTGTGCTGTGGGTCAGGCATTGTGCCAGGGCGTGTCCTGGGCCACAGGTGCTCATCATGGTCTGATGTGGGAAACTTCAAACAAGGAGTCAGAGTCCAGGGGGTTTGGTGCCAAGAGAAGCCTGTGTAAATGAGCCGGCACTGAGGATCCAGCTCATGATCCCCAGAGTGGAGGCGTTTGAGTCTCTCCCAGGCCTATAGGGAGAGGAGGAGTGGTCAGAGGACACAGAGGTCAGTGTCTGTCAGGGAGCCTCAGGAGTTTGGTGTGGTGGGAACATGGGGTGAACATAGGCAGGTAGCATGAGACGTGCTAGAAAGGTGAGCAGGAGGCTGGAAGGGCAGGACTTCTGAGGGGTGTTGCCAAGATAGAGAAGGAAAATGGGAGCTGGGCCCTGAGGCAGGGCCTGGGGGGGGCGGGTTAGGGCCATCCGAAGGGGAGCCTTTGCTCATGCCATTTCTCGGTGCCGGGAACTCTGCCAGAGGCCCTGGGGAAGATCCTGAGAGAGGCCTTGTGGGTAAAGCTTACTCTCGTCCCATTTACACAATACCCTTGTTTGTAAGTTTGTGGATCCTCAGCTTATAAATGGGAGGTGTTACAGCCCAGTGGATAGGAGCATGTGGGGTTCACATCTTGGTTCTGCCACTCTCTGTGCCTCAGTTTCCTCATCAGTAAAATAGACTACTCACCTCAAATAACATAGTCTGTGCGGAGAACTGAGAGCAGGTGTGACACTCAGTGAGTCGCTGCCTGTTGGCCAGTAGTGTCCTAGCATCATTGTAGGCGAGGCAGGACTTTTTGTCTTCGTTTTCACATGAGGATACTGAAGTTTAGAGAGAAATTCAGTGTCTTTGGAGGCAAAATTTAAACCTGGTCTACTGGCTCCCACTCGCATACCCTCCCTGTCAGTGCCCCTGAACCACTGCTCCCCCCCTGCCATGCCTGTCGGCCTAGAGGGTGACCTTTCTTAGAAAAAAGGGAGGTGACCTTTCTAAGTGAGGACAGGGGTGCCCATCCAATCCTGTTTGTGAACTAAGCCCCACCCCCACTCCCAATTTCCTGTTGGACCTTTCTCCCTGCGTTGGCCGTCTCCCCAACACCTGTCCCTGTGCCCACAGGATGTGTGCCCCCGTGATGGTGGAGCTGGAGGGGGAGACAGATCCCCTGCTTATCGCCATGAAAGAGCTCAAGTAAGTTGCCCAGATCACGGTTTGCTGCTCCAGAGCCCGGGCAGGCATCCTCTGGATTCTCTGCTGCACCCCGACCCCACCTCCCTGCCTGGGGAAGCGCTGATGGTTCCTGTGGATCTTAGCTGGTTCAGGAGTCAGCGCACCGGGAAAGAGGAGGGAGAGGGAGGAGGGGCAGGCAAAGGGGAGGCCACTGAGGACACAGCACCTCTCCTGGCCGTCAGAGTTCCCTGTTCCTGCTGCAGCCTGCCTTCCCAGCCCCCATCTTCCTCCTCCTCCTCCAGACGTGGGATGGCAGAGCCCTTCCAGACCACTGTCCCACGCTCGGGGATGCAGGAACTTTCCTTTTATTGCAGTTCTTTCCTACAAAGTCCACTTAGCCCCAGGAAGAGGCTCCCTGACTTCTCTTTCCTCGAATTCTGCAGACAGTCTGCCCCTCCTGCTGCAGAGCTGGGGTCTCCAGCCCTCATGTGCATGTGCCTTCTCCCCGCCACAGGGCCCGAAAGATCCCCATCATCATTCGGCGCTACCTGCCTGACGGGAGCTATGAAGACTGGGGGGTAGACGAGCTCATCATCACGGACTGAGCTGGAGTCATCTTCCCAGCTGCGCCTCACCCCAGCTCCTGTTCCCACATCCTTTACACGTGTAAATAATAAACTCTCCAACCTTCCCACCCCTGCCTCCGGCTATCTGCTGTGCCCACCAGCTTCTGCCCTGCTGTCTGGAGGCTGCACCCGTCCCAGTGGCCCCGTGACGGTCAGCTCTTTAAGAAGCACCAGGGGCCTTTACCCCTGTGGCTACCCCGCATCCCTCCCTCCATCTCCCCTTCACCAGAGCAAAGGCTGCTGCAGGGAGACACCTCAGCTGCCTTCCCAGCAGACAGACCAGCCTTTGTGCCCAGGGAGCTGGTTGCCATGGAAACTCCCAATTTCCTTTCCAGTGGGGACTGGCTGCAGGGGCTTCTCCCTTCTCAGGAGTATCACAGAGCAGGTCTCATCAAGCCACCCATTGTTTCTCCCTTCTCAGGAGTATCACAGAGCAGGTCTCAGGATCCCCTTTCAGGAGCAGTGCCCCAGCAGGAAGCTTGGGGACGCAGTGATCTCCGCCCTCCCCAGGCAGAGCCCTGCTGGGCAAGTCAGCTGGAGCAAGGACCCAGCACCTGCCCCCCTTGTCCCCACTCCTCAGGCCACTGCCCACACGGTGTCCTCCATGGCCCGCCTACCTGGTCTGCCACACCCATACCCTCTCCTTCCCAGCCTCTGGAAGATGTCCTTCCTGTTCTGTGTGGGCCCGTGACCCTCTGAGGCCTTGACTGGGGTGGGTTCTGGGATCATAGTGGGCAGGGAAGCAGGACTCCTGGGCTCAAGGCGTGGCTTTAAATCAGGACTGGAGCACACCCTCTGTCCTAGGTTCTAATGGGTCCTATTGTCTTCACCTTGCTTACCCGACATGCGGTAAGACCAACCACATTGGATCTTCCCTCCCTGGGGGGCGGGGGACAGGGAGAGGGTTTATATTGACCCCAACAGAGATAGAAGGGAAAATTGGCTCCCTGAATAGAATATACCAGCCTTAACCTCCCTTCTACTGTCAGCTCCCCTTCCCGGAAGAGGAGGAGCGGGCATGGCCCTGGGGTGGGTGCACCCTGGCTGGACAGGGTGGGAGAGATGAGCGGTCAGTGCCAGGAGGGGTGTTTGCTGCCTTGGAAGAGGGTTAATTCAGGGAGCAGGGGACTTCGCACCCCCTTCCACCCTCCTCCAAGCCTGTGGAATCCTTTAATCAAGTTGGGTGCTGAAATTTCAGCTCTGAAATGCCGCCTTTGTGCTGGCATCCAGGCGGCCGCCCTAGAGTGTGGGGGTCACTTTCTCGGCCCCGTTTCTCTAAATGGTCTCTTTGTTCCTGCTGGGCCACTCAGTATCAGATGTGATTAAAGGGAGATAGGGTTTGGGTGGGGGAGGAGAGAAGGGAGTGGGGGGTTAACCCTTAGGGAATAGGGTGTAGGAGAGATGGAGAAGGGGGTGTTTTTCCTCCCACCTCCCCCTTTCCACTCTGCTCCTCTTTCAGGGAGTCAGTCCTTGGCTACTCAGCTGGCCAGGGCTGGGCATAATCTCTTCACCTGGCTCCTCTCTTTACACGTGGTCACTCCCTGACTGAGGCCCCAGCACATCCGGAACCTTGAGTCTAAGGGATGAAACAAGCCAGGTCTTCCGACTTCTCCGGGATCATTTGTCCATTTTCCCTCTTCCCGAGTCCCCAGTGACTTCCCAGTCGATTGCATGAGATGCAGAGTCCTGCCGAGAGCAGGAGCAGTGAACAGACTGGAAATGGCCTAATACCCTGTTTTCCAATAGAGGTGAAAGGGCGGGTTGTAAAAATTACGAGCATGTAAGGTTAGCACCGATTGATCCCGGACACATATCTAGAATCAGTTACTGCATATTGGAAAACACGTAGGCCATGAAGAGATCCCGGGGCTATTATAGGGTTTCTCAGAATATTACCCAATGTTTTCAGTGGTGGCTGGTCTGGAAGGTCGGAGGCTACAGCAAATCTTGGTTATAGCAAGGCGTCAGGCGGTCTGTACTGTGAAGTGTGGACTTCGTGGTGATAACAGATTCAGAATCGATTGCCAGTCTTTCCTTAAGAGTGTAGTGACAGAACTAATGAAGTATTTAGTGGATTCACAGGGCCTGCTTCTCTTCATTTCAACCTTTTTTATTAGTGACTTGAATAGGATAGTCAGGTTTGCAGATACAGAAGGAGAGCTAGTAAGTTGTATTCAGGATTCCAAAAGGTTTAATGTAGGTGGGAAATGGTCAATTCCAACAAGATGAAATCTGTTAAAGATCAGTATAAAATCCTGCTTTTATCTACAACAACAAAACACCGGGAGACATCTTACATACAGTTTGGGGCGGTCTGACTTGGCAGCAGATCCTGTTCATGAGAACAGGGGTTCGCATCTACCACTAAGCCTCACGGAGCCAGCAGTTGTGGTGAGGTTGCCTAAGAGCTCACATGATGCAGTTTCCGGATGGGATGCAGTTTCCGGATGGGAGTCTGGCCACCCTGGAGGACTGGGCTAGGTCTTGGCACGCTCCACCCTACTCCTCCCCACCCCAGGTCCTGACTAGGAGGCGAGAGGTGGATAAGGGAGCTGAGGTGGCCGGTCTGGAGCAGTGGAAAAAGCATCACTTCAGATGAAAAGTGGAAGTAGGGCCTGTAGATGCTGGGCAGATGGAAGAGATGACGGTTAAGAGCGCAGTGAGGGAGTCAGAGCATCAGCACTTCTTAGCATGAACCTCAAAGCTTCAGTTTGCCCATCTGGAAAATGGGGACAAAGACTGGATCTCCTCCCTCATAGGCCTGAATGACATAAAGCACTTGGCCAGGGAACACTGTAAGTGGTAGCTATTACCGTTACTAGCTGAGTATAAGGAAGACTTCCAGCCATTGGAGCCAGCCATCGGTGGAGCATGTGGTGAAAAGATTCCCCTGCTCCTGAGGTGGAGTGGCTCCTGCCCCCAGCACAGCTTGGAATTCAACTGAGGAAAGAGCTCCGAGGGAGTAAGCACTGAAGGGTTAGATTGCACGTCTGCCCTCCTGGGTTTACACTCAGACACAGGCAGCTGCCGTGAAGATCGGCTAGATCCTGGATTGGGCCAGTGTGTGTTTGTGTGTGTGTATGCGGGTGTGTGTGTGTGTGTGTGTGTGTGTGTATGAATGTGTGTGTGTGTGTGCAGAGAGAGAAGGCCCAGCATCACATCCTAAAGGACTGGGCAGCCAGTCAAGTACCTGTCTCTTGAATTCTATGCAAGCTCCCTCTCCTCTGCTGGGCAAGCAGAGGGGCTGCTGGGAAGGCGCTTGGGCAGAGGGGCTGCTGGGAAGGCGCTTGGGCTGAGTTCCAGCTTGAGCCAGAAAGGGGCCCATCTGTAGGGTGGGCACAGCTGGCCTGGGGGAAGAGCTCCCATCTGAGGCCCCAGCCCCTGAGCACACTGACCCACTGCGAGGCCCCCTCTTCCTAGGCAGACAGGAGACCTTTGGGTTAGAGGTGCAGGGAGAAGAGACCAAGAGACAGGCCAGGTCAGGCCCACCAAAGCAGGTAGCTGGAACCTTTAATTTTATTACGGGGAATACTTAATGCAGAGTTAATAGGAGCTGGAGAACCTAGGAGCGGGGGGAGGGGAAGGGGAGCTACTGAGATAAATAAGAGGGGGTAGTAATGAGTTACATGTGGATTGTGGGGGCTGCAGAACAGGAACATAGGGGCAGACAGAGCTACATACTTTATTCAGATACCACTGGGAAGCAAAGGGCAAAAGGCCAGGGCAGAATGTACATGGCAGGAGTTTAGTGTCTTCAGCTGCTGCTAGCAACCTGGTGCTGGGCCCCTGTCCTCCTGGAGCCACGGGTTTGGGCACGAGCAGCATAGCTCTCAGGGAGCCCAGGAGTGGGGCCGAGAGCAGGGGCCACAGAGCCTGGTGAGGGGAGAGGGAGCTGGCGGAGAGCCAGGAGGAAGGCTCTGTGAATTGTCTCCAATCCTTTCCTCACCTCCGGGATGTGCCTCAAGGTCTGGGAGGCTGTAGTGGAGGAGGCCCTGGGGCCCTCTTTCCGATTAGATGAAAAATCAGGCTGTTGGCATAGAACTGGATCTGGGGTCTCTAAGTTGATTCCTTTCTGTGTTCAGGAGGGAAGCGGGCACTGGGGGGGATACCTCCCACTGAGCCCCCACCCACCTCCACACTCTCGGAGGCTATTCAAAGCTGTCCCCAGCCCCCGAGGGGCAGACATAGCCCACTCCAGGCACGGATGCAGGGGTGGCCTTGACCTTAGGCACATGGCACAGGTGGCATGGGTTATGTCAGACCCCTCGTTCTCCACGAAAGAGGAAACAGTCACAGGAATGGCAAGGCCTCCGATTCCCATCCGACCCTGGGTGCTTCCCCCTCCCAAAGGGTGAGCGGGTCCTTCTCAGGTCCTGGGATGGAGGGTCATCCTGGGGGGAAGGTGCAGCCCCTCATGGTCCAGTCTAGGGGCAAAAACCAACCTCCTCCTCCTCTGCCCAGCCTAGAAGTCTAGGGCTTTGTCTGGGCTGAGCCTGGACAGGATGGGGTGGGGTCATCAAAGGCAGTGAGCCCGACAGAAAGCCTCCCCTCAGCTGTCAGCCTCTGCCGCCTCCTCCCCAGCCACCACCAGGACAAAGATGGGCCAGGAACTGGGTGCGAGGGCTTGGGAAGGGCATACTAGCCAGGGGCTGGGGGGATGTGACAGGGCCCCTTTAAGGTCGGGACAGCGTCGTATATACTGGCTGCTCCCAGTGTGTGGGGCTGTGGGATTGGGGCCCTGAGGGGCTGGGATCAGAGATGGCCGTGTAGAGGGGCCGCTGTGAGGGCCCCATGTAGGAGAAGGCCGAGTAGAGGCCGGAGGCCTGGCCTGAATGGCCGTAGTAGGGTCCTGAGGGCTGATGGTCAGAGTAGTCAAACTGGGGGCGGGAGATGGAGGGGAAGGCGGAGCCGTAGTGGGGCAGGCTGAGGGAAGTGTAGGCGATCTGCGAGGTGGACGGCTGGTCGCTGTAGTGCGGGGGCCCCTGGGGCCCTGCGGTCTCCGTCTTCACCTGGGCTTTGGTATCCACACCAGGTGGCGAGACCGTGGGCAGAGCCACGCCTGGCGGCTTGGAGATCCAGGCGGAGTGTCCACTGGCCACAGCCAGGGCGCTGCCCAGCCCATAGCCAGCTGCTGAGTAGCTGCCCACGTGGCCCGGGTGCCCGTTGGGTGGCAGATACTGGTCCAACTCAGCCACATCGAAGGTTTCCATGTTGGACATTACCTCGTGGCTGATCTCCCCGATGTCTACGTTGCCGAAGTCGATGTGAGGCTTTCCGCCCTCCCCCATGGAGCGCCCGTCCCGCTTGGGGTCTGCCTTCCCCGACTGCAGCTCTGTCTTTGGGGTGGTCGGAGGGGTGGGGGGGCCATGGCTCTGGCCTGGGTGGGAGGAAGACAGAGAAGCAGGAAACCAGGTCAGAGGCTTCCAGATGCTGGGTAGTTCACCCTCAGAGAAGGGGTCTCCAGGACCTGAGGGCTGACCCTGCGAGCCTTGTACGTCTCACAGGCCTGGGCAGTCTGGGTTGGCACTGATTTATGTCACGGTCTTGGGTTGCTCTCTAGTGGTTCCAGCCTTACGGGTGGGTCCTGCCTCCCTGCCTCCCTCCTGGAAAGGCTGCCTCCTTTTGAAAGACCTTTCCCGTTGGAAAGTTTCCTCCCATCAGCTGAGGTGGCTGCCTTACTGGCCCTTGGCTCCTTAGCTGCTGAGCCCAGTGGGGCCCTGCCCTCCATTCAGCCGCCTGCCGGCTGCTGTCCTCGCTGACCTCCTCCGCCGCCTCGCTCCTGACTCCCTTTCACGTTTGCTGGCTTCCCTGTGCCTCCTCCCCAGACAGCAGTGTTCCCTCCAACCCCTTCCTCCAGGAAACCTTCCCTCGGAGCCAGTCCCCCTGGCAATGTCTCCAGACTTGCTCCACCCTGTTCCTTTGTCCATGTCACATCCACATGTCCATTCGGCAAACACTTAGGGGGCACGGTGCCAGGAAGAGGGGACACAAGCATCAGTAAAATGGGTCGCTGTCTTCACAAGCTCAGAGGCTTGGGGAGATCCCGAGACCCACACGTGGCAGCTGCAGAAGTGCCGTGCTGACGGGCACGCAGGGGCTCAGGCCAGCGGAAGCCACTCACCCTGCCCTGGGGATCTGGCGAAGGTCTCACTGAGGGGAAGGAGCTGAGCTGGGCCTTGAAGGCTGAGGAAAAGCCCAAGCCCACAGTTACATTCTGAGTGGTGGTTCTCACGGCCCAGGGTCTTCTTTCTGGGTGTGTGTGTGTGTGACTGGACAGGAGATCCCAGCACAGAGAGATCAGAGCTCCTGCAGGGCAGGCCTGTGCCCCCTCCATCAGACCAGAGGGAGGGCTGGGTCACTTGCCACGTGACCCTGGGCAGACCCCTGTCTTCTCCTAACCAGTTTCCTTATCAGTAAAGCCCGGCCTCCATCCTGAAGCCTTCCTGGCCCGGAGTCTGGCGGGGCTGGATGCTTTCGGAGACCCGACTGAATGGATGGTGGTGGCCCCTCCCTAGAGATCATGCCCCGCTGCGTCTTGGGCGGCTTTGCATGCACTTGCTTCTTCCTATACCTAAGGCACGTATGTTCCTGCTCCTCCTACACCAGTGATGGCGAACCTTTTGAGCTCGGCGTGTCAGCATTTTAAAAAACCCTAACTTCACTCTGGTGCCGTGTCACATATAGAAATTTTTTGATATTTGCAACCATAGTAAAACAAAGACTTATATTTTTGATGTTTATTTTATATATTTAAATGCCATTTAACAAAGAAAAATCAACCAAAAAAATGAGTTCGCGTGTCACCTCTGACACGCGTGTCATAGGTTCGCCATCACTGTCCTACACCCTGGTTCCTGAGTGTCTGCTCCCGGGCCTGGATCAAATGGGGACTCGGGGCATAGCTTCTAAGAGCAGAGCTCTGACTTCCTGTGCGCCCGACCCACGCACGGCGCTCTATACATGGTGAGCCCAAGCGAGGCAGCCGTGGTGCCGGCGGAGGCCCCGGAGCCAGAGAGCCGGGCTCAGACCTCAGCCGTGTGGCCCATCACCTCAGTTTTCTCACCTTCCAGTGAGTGTAATGAGCCTCAGCTGAGGTCTGAGCCTCCCCATTAGAATGACCGAATGAGCGGACACACAAGGCAGTTGGCACAGTGCCGGGCACACCGTTAGTGTTACCATTAATGAGAATGACACAAGATGGCCTGACTGGCCCTGGCATGGCACGCTCTCAGCGTCACAGGCCCTGTTGTCTGTCTCCCCCTGCATCAGACCGGGAGGTGGGAGAGGCAACGCTCTCTTTTCTATCTGCTCTCCCGTTTCTCAAACCATCCAGTCCCGCCTTTTCTTGTTGTAGCTCACCCCAGGGCCCCCTTCACTGGCCCTTCCCTCAGCAGCAGTGCCCCCTCCATCCGCCAGAGCCATCTTACCCACGGCCTTCCCTGGCACCTGGGCCCCTGCACCCCAGCCGGAGTGACCACACAGCCTGGCAAGCCCTGCCCAGGGCACAGGGCTGTCGTGGAGTGCCAGGGTCTCACGCCACCCATCCAGCCTTCACCTCTCCCCACACCCAGCTCCCCCACCCACAGCTCAGCATCACACCCCACCCTAGCCCCCAGCCCAGTGTTCACCTGAGGGGTGCTCAGGGTTCCCGTCCGACATCGGAGAGCCCTCTCCCGGGTGCCGGTGGTCCAGGTGGGCGCTCTTGTAGTGGGCCTGGATGGCCGCGGCCCCGCCCTGCTCGGCCTCCCCGCCGGGGCACTCTGACTCCCCCTGGGCCGCCTTCCCGTTCTTCCGTCTCCTCGGCTGGTACTTGTAGTCCGGGTGGTCCTTCTTGTGCTGCATCCGGAGCCGCTCGGCCTCCTCGATGAAGGGGCGCTTGTCACTCTCATTCAGCAGCCTGGGGTGGGCCGTGGGGAGACAGCAGAGGGGCCACTGTGAGCGTCTTCCCTGGAAGAACTGAGGCCCGAGGATGGGCGCCCAGCGTGGGAGCTTGCCCTTTGATTTACAGACTGGAAGATGTGAGGCCCAAGGAACCCCAGGCTCAGAGGGCGGTGACCTCACCCCCAAATCTCTCAAGAGGTTGGGGTATAAGAGTGGTCAGCCTGCTGCTCCTGGTAGCCCTTGGGACGGAGTCAGAAGTAGGAATAGAGCTTAGGAGGGGCAGACATCAGTTCAAGGAGAGGAAAGACTTTCTCCCATCAAAGCTGTCTAGCCCGGCCGGTGTGGCTCAGTGGTTGAGCATCGACCTATGAACCAGGAGGTCATGGTTCGATTCCCGGTCAGGGCACATGCCCGGGTTGCAGGCTCCATCCCCAGTGGGGAGCGTGCAGGAGGTAGCTGATCGATCGATGATTCCCTCTCATCGTTGATGTTTCTATCTCTCTCTCCCTCTCCCTTCCTCTCTGAAATCAATAAAAAAATATATATATTTAAAAGCTGTCCAAGTGGGGTTTGCTACTTTGTCAGGGGGGAGGTCCCTGGGATTAGAGGTGCAGAAGCCGAGAAGCAGCGTGTGAGGGGGAGGAGCCCGGCCTCTGCCACTTACTAGCTGTGAGACGTGGGCAGGTCACTGCCTGAGCCCTAGTCTCCTCACCAACAGAACCAGGTGACAGTGCTCACTTCACCAGGTTTGGGGCTGGCCAAGATCACGGACGCGAAGCGCTTGGCACCAGGCCTGGGGTGGGGGCTGGCGCTTGAGAAATAGGTGCTGCCCTGATGCTGCTCGCGGGAGGCTGGACAGGCCCTGGGGAGGGCCCGGCTCAGCTCTGGAACACTGACTCTGCTCATTGCAGTGGCTGGGGTGAGGCCAGGCTGACAGAGGGTAGAGGGAGCTAGCTGCTTTTCCCAGACCTGGGACAGGGGCAGACACCCTCTCCGCAGTCTGCAGTCCACGAACCTGGGACAGGGGCAGACACCCTCTCCGCAGGCCGAGACCAACCAGCGGAGGCCCCGAAGGCACCGCCCCTGCCGGAGGGCAGGATGGGGTACCCTGCAGAGGGTGCTGAGGGGAGTCCTAGACATAAGGGACTGCGGGAGCAGCTCTGTTCTCTGCCCAAAGGCGCGCTCTCAGCCCCCACCCCACCCCCAATGGGTGCCCTCTTCCCCTAGTCAGCAGAAGGCTGAGCCCTCCCACCCGGGATGGGAGGGGGTGGTCATACCAGGCGCCTCCAGCCGGCAGCAGCATTCCTCTGCAGCTTAGCCTCCCCTCTGCCCCCCTCCCCCGCCCCCTCCTCGCGAGGCCCTGAGCCCAGCCCTAGCCCCGCTTGCTCCAAGGGTCCCTCTGGTGAGAGATGGGACAGGGCCTCCAGATCAGGGCCTCAGGGTTCAGGGAGTGGGATGCCTTCGGCCTCTGGAAGGCTGGGCCAGGGGAGTGGGTGGGCGGGCCCTGAAGGTGTGTGTGGACTGGGGGCAGGTATAGGGTTGGGGTGGGGATAGAACTGCTTTTGAGGTTGAAGAGCAGGCTTAGCCAGCACGGAGGCTCCCTGGATGGTTGGGGACACTGAGCTCAAACCTTCCCTGTGCCCTCTGCCCAGCGGTCAGTGGGGTTTAAATCAGTAAGGAAATGGCAGGGGGTGCGGAGGGAGGGCACCAGCCAGAAGAGAGGGAAGATCCCAACACTGCATTCCAGTGTCCCTCCCTAGTTCCTCCCAGCACCCTAACCTTGATAGAAACCTAACCTTGAGCCCACCAGACACCAGCCCATTCTGTCACCACCTCCAGGCCCACCCCAGCCTCGCCCAGACCTCGCTCTGTTTAGGCTCTCTCCTGACCCCAAGCCCCTCCTGCCCACCACGTAAAACCCTCCCTGCCCTCCCCCATGGCCCACAGCCCTTAACGGTGAACCCCATCTCCTCTGCACCTTCACTTCACCTCTGTCCTCTGGGTCTCCAAGCTGCTCCCCACCCCCAAACCGGAAACCCCCACCTGGGGGGCTCCCAGGGTGGGACACTGGCTGCTGCTCCAATTGCTCCTCCTGGCAGGGAAAGGGCCTGGGGGGCCAGCCTGTGACCCCCTTTTAGTCTCTTGGCTCTAGATATTCTCTCTGGGCAGGTCAGCTACATACAGCCAGCACCACGTGACCGCATCTCACGTCCTCTCCCAGGGGGCACGGGTTAGCATGACTGTCGGAGCCACTGAGGAGCCAGGTCCTGGATGCTGGTGTGTCTACCCCAGCTCCCTTCCAGCACCCGATATAGTCGTCTGTCTGGCTGTGTCTCTCTCTTCAGGGTTAGGGCCCCTGCCCTCCAGTTTTGCCTCCCTAATCACCCCCCTTCCTGCTGCCTGCTGGCCTGGGAGTCATGAATCTGGGGCGGGGACCTCAGGAGGAGCCAGCCTAGTCCAAGTCCCAGGATCCCAGGACGTCCCTCAAGATCCCACCCAGGTCCAGGTAGCCCGCCCACATGTTGGCAGAGTCTTTCTCTTTGCCACTGTCCTGCACCCTCCTACCCCCGGGCCTGGGTCCCGAGCAAGCAGCCTGTTTTCCTGATTGCCCCACCCCAGGCTGGCTCTTGGGGGCACCCTGGGCCCCGGTGCACACACTGTGAGTGGTGGCCAGGAATGGGTCCTCTTGAGGGAGCCAAGACCAGGGTTCTGGGCTGGGGAGCAGGGACAGGGCAATGGAGGCCCCGTCTTAAGCCCTTGGTGGTGGAGTGCTTGGAGCAGTAGGGGCCATTCTTGCTCCAATGCCCTCACTGTGGTCTGTTCACCGTCCCCACAGCCTGCTCTGTCTGCCTGTCTGTCTCCCTCCTGCTTGTCTGTCTCTCACTGGCTCTTTTCTGTCCCCTGGCACCGACGGTCCTGGCCCGGGCTGAGCCCTCCATGGGTGTGGGTGGACCTTGGGCTGAGAGGGGTAAGGGAGCACCAGGCCATCAGCAAACACACAGCCAAGGACAAGGCCGGGCCAGATGTGAATCCCTCTGGGAGGCCCTCCTGCTTCTTCCGCCACCTAAGCCTGTGGCCTTTGGGACCTGGTCTCCACTGGGCGAGGGGCAGGCCAGGGGCCAGCAGCAGGAGGGCAGCAATTCCTCCGACAAAGCCCAAACCACTGCTCTCCTCTGCCCCACCCCCACCCCCTCCTGAGCACACCTCAGAGTGACAGGGTGACCCCCACTGTCACCAGGGTCCGTGTGGGGAAGACCACTGGGCGGAGAGTCAGGAGCCGGGGTTCTGGCCCTGGCTCCCGGGCTCTGCTCCTAGTTGTTAGGTGGCCTTTGTGGTCCTTTGCCTTTCGGGGCTATCTCGTGGGCAGTCTAGTGGGAAACCAGGTGACCTCCGGAGCCCCTGTTCTCTGTGTGAGCTCCCAGGACTGGGGTGTGTGGGGGTGGGGTTGCCTTTCTCAACATGTCCGGGGGTTGGCGGACTTCCTCCTTGGGGGGATGCTGTCCCCACAGAGGTCTGGTTGATCCCTGGGAGTCTGAGGGCCCCGGGCAGGAAGGGGCCAAGGTTTCCTCCGGCTCACAGCTCCAGCCTTGGGGTGGAGGGGTAGGAGGTTACTCATCGCTGGGTGGGGCCCTGGAAAGGAAGATGGCGCCGAACTGGGAGAGGGAGGGAGACAAGCCTGGCAGCTTTGGGACGGGGTGGGAGGCGCTGCTTTCTGTGTGTCCCCTTCCCGGGGGAAGAACCCCCCAGACTGAAGGAGGGTGGGGTCCGGAAGGCACAGTGAGGGCCGCTGGGACGGGCCAGGATCCTGGCCGCAGATTTCTCCATTCCTCCCTCTTCCAAAGGCTCCTGTCCGACACCTTGCTTCCCTGAACTTTCACCTCTTCTGCATGGCTGCCTCAGTTTCCCTGCCTCTCCAGACAGGCCCTCAATTCTTTGCCAAACGTTTCCCCAGCATCCCCGCCACTAACCCGGGGGCAGTGGTCCCCCTGAGAGCGCTGCCCGTGGGGAAGCGGTTCTGACGGCCTTCGGCCTCGTTGGGAGCCCTCCGCCATCCTCCCTCCCTCCAGCCTTCCCTGCCCCCCACCCCCCAGGACGAAGCCTAGGCCCTACCGCCTGCCTCCGACAGAATTCCAACCACGAGGGGGCGCCTTTCTGCCCGCTGCCCCGGCTGGGGAGCCAGCACCACCCCAAGGGGGCACTTGTGGGGGGGCCCCCCCAGCCCCACCAGGAGATGGCTACCTCCGGAGAAGGGTCCGAGGAGCTCCGTGGGGCCTGAACCCCCCGCAGCGGGAGGGCCCGCGGGCAGCCCGGGCGGGCGCTCACCTCCAGAGCTTGCCCAGCGTCTTGCTGAGCTCGGCGTTGTGCAGGTGCGGGTACTGGTCGGCCAGCTTCCTGCGCGCCGCCTGCGCCCACACCATGAAGGCGTTCATGGGCCGCTTGACGTGCGGCTTGCTCTTGCTGGCGCCGTTGACGCGCACGGGCATGGGCACCAGCGTCCAGTCGTAGCCGCTCAGCACCTGGCTGACGGCCTCGCGGATGCACACGGGGAACTTGTCGTCGTCCGCCTCGCCGTCCTGCTGCTCCTTCTTGACCTTGCCCAGCTCTCCCGGCCCCGGGCTGGCTCGCAGGCCGATCCCCCCGCCGCCGCCGTCGGGCCCCAGCGAGGGCGCGCTGCCCGGGGACAAGGCAGCGGGGCTCCTCGGAGCCCACGGGGCTCAGCTCCACCTCGGAGAGGTCCTGCTCCTCCGCCATGTCGCCCCCGGCCCGCCGCCGCCTCGGCCGCCTCCCCGGGGCCCCGCCGCCGGCGTCCTCGCGAAGAGTCCCACGCTCACCTGGACGGGAGGGAGTGCGCGATGGAGCGGCCGCGCGCAGCCCCGACGGCCGGGACGCGACGCGCACAGCCCGAGGTGGCGCCCGCCCTGCTCCCCTAAACCCACGGCAGCCCCCGGGCGCGCGCACATGCCAGACCCGCTCGGCCTCCTCGCTCCTGCCTCCACGTCTCCCCGCCACCTGGTCCCAACCGTCTCTCTCCCGGTGTGGGTGGGTTTGGGATTTTTCAAAACCTCCTTTTGGGTGGAGGTTTGTTGATGGAAAGGAAGAAAAACGGACTCTTTATTCGGCTCATAATCCCGGCTCCTGGAATTTCCCACCTATCTCTCCCCATATCACGCATGCATGAGGCAAATCTTGGACATGCGAGGAGGGTATCCTGTCTGTCCCATCACTCACCTACTAGAAAGCATACCTCTAATCCAGAGATACACTTCGGAATGTGGTACTGGTTTTCCCATGGTGTACGGTCCCCCTCCGAAAAGGGTCTTTCCACCTGCGAGCTGGGTCGGGACGCGCTGGGGGGCCTTGAGCCTTAGTGCTCAGCCGAGTCAAGACGGAGCCTCAATCCCCAGGACCAACCACCCTGACCGGTCAACCCCAAACTATCTGAGCACTGAGCTGCTGCCGAGGGATAGGGATGTAAGGAGGGGGTGAGGGGGAGGGGGAGGGGAGGGAGGGAGGGAAGGGCAGAAGGTGGAGCCTCCAGCGCTTTCCTTCATCCCCAACACTCAGGGCTCCTCCGCCAGGCCCCCCCACCCCAGCTCCCTGCGCTGCTGCCCCAGGCCCACCTTGGGGTCTGAGCTCGGGTGGGGAGGTGTAGGCGCGGGGGTAGTCAGGCCAGGAAAGTCAAGGGATGCTCATGGGCGGGGTCGGAACCTGTTGCTTGGAGGAAAAGTGGGCCAACTATGACCCCCCCAGTCTCGGGGCCTCAGGTGGTAGGATGGGCAAGTAGCAAAAAATTGGGGAGGGATGAGAGGCAGGGGAGGATTCTGTTGTGTGTGAGGGTGGCTGGCTGGTGCTGCTTCAGGGAGGACATCTTCCGGAGCACCTGTGGGCAGGCCTGCTTCCCAGCTGTCTCTGCCTCAGCCCCACCTGGCCACCCTCTCTGCCCCAACGTCCAGAGACGCAGGTCTGTACTTAGTAGCCGTGGGCAGCTCCACACCTGCCTGTGCAGATGGCCCGGCTTGACCCCTGGGCCCTTCTCATCGGACACCCAGGCACGTAACAGTGGGGCTCCAGGTGGACAGAGGACTAAAGTTCCCAGTGGGCTGGGCTCGGGGCTGAGGGGCCTCTTCAAGCAGGTCTGGAAGGCTTCTGGGCCCCAGTCCCTTCCCACTGGCTCACCCTCTCGTAGTGCACCAGTCCCTGGTTATCATGAAGTCCCCCCTCCCACTCCCAGCCCCTCTCTTCCTCCTCTTTGCCCACCTCTCCCCTCAGCCCAGCTGGGTGACCCTCCATTGTTCTGTCTTGCCCACCACTCATGGCACTCTCTTCTCTCTTTCCTAGGCCTCTCTTCCGAAGCACACCCCTGTCTCTTCTCCGTGGGTGTGCGTGGAGGGGCCGATGGAGCCGGCCGCACTGGCGACCAGGTATGGTTCTGAGCTCCTCAGCAGCTGGGCAGGGGCCCAGGCCACCCCAAGGGAGTCCTGTCTGGAGTGGGGCTGGAAAGGGGGTCTAGGCAAGGCCTCCTGCTTGGGAAAGGCCAAGGGGGTGGGCAGTGGGGTGGGCAGTGGGACACAATGAGGTAGTCACACGAGGCGAAGGCATGTTGGGGGTGGGGGGAGCGGACATTGGAACACACACACACACACATGCTCGCACACACAACCAGCCAGACAATCGGGCCAGTGTGTCTGGGGCCTCGGAGCCCAGTGAATTAGGAGTTTGATAAGGGTTTTCTCTTTCTCTCCCTTGCCGGCCTTGGACAATCTCCCCCCAGTTTTCCTCGACGCCACCCCCGGCGCTGCCAACCCTCCTCCCCCCGCCTCCCTTCTCTTCCCTGTGCCCAGACTCTTGTTCGGGGCCTTGAAACAGTGAGCTGTCTTTGTTCGAAATACAGGTGAACGGCAATCATGTGATTAACACACACACACATAAAAAGCTTTTTAACAGCGCCCGCCCGGCCTCAGAACCGCCCAGAGAGGAGCCGCCCTGGATGGACAGAGGGCTGAGGGCCGAGCATCCAGCTGGCCGTCCGGCTGCCCAGCAGTCTCCGACGCCGCGGCTGCCCGTCCGCTGCCCGCCTGCCTGGCATCTCTTGATCCTCCCGGTGGGTCCCCATTCATCCTTCCACCCTTGGTTCCTCCTCTTCGAGGGCAGGGCCTCCCTGCCCCTGCCGTGTCTGTGATCCGGTCCTGAGACCCCCCGGGGCAGGGAGGGGTGGCTGTGGAGGGCGAGGGCCCAGGGTCGGAAGCTGGGTGTGGGGTCCCACAGCTCCCTCTGCGCCTCCCCCCTCCTCCTCTCAGCTGTGCCAGGATGGGGTGGGGGTGGCAGTGCGCGCTCTGGGTCTGCAGAGAAGCCATGGGCCTAGAGGGGGGCCTCTCTTTCTCCTTCCTTCTGTCTCTCCCTCTCTCCCCGGTGACCTCGAGAGCTGTGCTATTCTGATGAGAGCTGCTGTATGAAGAAAAGTACTGAACGATTGGTTGTTGTAGAACGCGCTATTAGATGCCCCGGTGTGCGGGTTGGAGCACACTCTGCTGGACACGATGCGCTGCATTCAACCCACCCATTCTGGTAACCGTGATCCCCTCCTTCCCACCCCAGCCCCGGGGACCCAGCTTTCTCAGCAGGAGAGGGAAAGGCCCATGGAGAGCAGGGGGTTGGGAGAGGGGGGCAGGGTCCTGGATTAAGACCCCGGGCCTCTGCCCTTGGCAGAATCACCAGGTGGGCCAGTACCACCTTCTGCTTCCTTCCCCCTCATTCCTGACCCTTCCCCAAGGATGCTGGCCAGGACCCTCCCCTCAGCACCCGGTCTACTCTGGCCGTCCTGGGGGAGCTGTGGGGAGAGGTGGCTCTGGCCGGCCTGCTCTCCCCAGCAGAGAGGTGGGGACTCAGGCGTCCCTTCCTGGCGGAGAGGCCTTTCAGGGGCGGCAGTATTCGCCTGGAGCCCAGCCTGGGTGCTACTGATCCTGGTCCCAGACTCACTCAGTCAGCCCCTGAGAGGAGGGGAAGGAATGGAGTTCTGTCAATCAAAGGTCAAGCCACTGATGGCCCCACCTGGCAGAGCTGCTCGGTCAGCAGTGACCCTTAACCCCTTAGCTCCCTGAGCCCTCTTCCCAGGGCCCCGGTCATGCTGTGGAAGGCTCCGCCCTCGTCCTCCTTCCCTGCTCTGGGCCCGGTCCCTCCTCTGTCACCTGGGGCACTGATCACCCTCCTGCCATCCTGCCTCCCCGGACACAGAGGAAACGGGAAATCTGTTCGCGGAGCCAGGGGCTGTGCAGGGGTGGGGGTGCTGGTCCCTCGTGTCTCTGCTCCTGCCTGTTTTCCCAGGGGGGCTGACACTCTTCCCAGCCCTTCAGAGGCCAGGGCTGAGGGCCAGATGGGGGCACGGGGAGAGCGCTCTCCCATCTCAGGCACATGTGGGTGAGACCTGGGGTCCAGGCTGTCCTCTCCTGGGTTCCCGCAGGCCTGTGCCCCTCCCAGCACCTCAAAGGCGCACCAGCCCCTCTGGCCCCCGAGGGACACTCACCCCCACGCTGGCTGTGGGACAGGGTTGGCCGCGGCAGCGCCTCTCCATGTAACGGTGTGTCGCCGGCTCCCATTCTTTGGGTCCAGGTGGGGCCTGAGGTTTCGTGTTTGTGACCAACTTCTGCGTAGCTGCCTAGGGCACTGGTCCTAACGCTAGTTGCACTTTAGAATCGGGTGGAGTTTTTAAAAAATCCTGAAACCTGGATCCTGTGGCAAACTGGCGAATTCTGACGGACTGAGGACGGGTCCAGGCCTGGTTACTTCGCGAGGCTCCCATGGGGTCTTGCTCACCTCACTGGGCTCTCTGAGCCCCGAGGACCCCAAATCGCCAGGGACAGGGGAGGGGCGGGGCTCTGGACCCCAGGGCTGGAGGCTCCACGTGCAGTTACCCAGGGCTGGGGTGTGGCAGGGGGGCTGTGCGCTGGGGAGGGGAGGACTGAGGAGCCAGGGGTCAGGCTACAGCAGGGACCAGGACAGACACTTAGTCCGGGTGAGTGTATGGGACATGGGGGGCTCCTGATGTTTCCTAGGCCATCCCCACCCGCTCTGCGTAGGCCGTGTCCTTCTTTTTTTGGTGCCCTTGACCAGAATCGAACCTGGAACCCTTCAGTCTGCAGGCTGACGCTCTATCCACTGAGCCAAACTAGTCAGGGCATGGCCGTGTCCTTCTTGGTTTGGGTGCAGGAAGAGCTGGACCTGGATGAGGAAGCGCTGCTGTTGGTGTGCACAGGGCCTCGGGAAGGTTATGCTGTGAGGCTTTTGCGCGTGTGGAATGCTGGTATTTTGTACGTTATATATTATACACGTGGGAGACCTAAATAAGGACGCACACATATGCTCCTAGTTTAGTGCTGGGTGCATTAAGTACTCAACACCTGTTCGCTAGAAAAAGCAGGTTAGTCCTGAGAGGGGCGGAGATACTTTGCGTGCACACGTGTTTACCGAGCAGCCACCTGGGCCTGCCTTCGGAGTTTCTCATCTGCCTGTTGCTCCCAACATCAGACCTGGGTGGGGTGCGACACGTTCCTTGTGGGTGGGCCTCCCGGCCTGCACCCCTTACTTCTAGGCCTCCCCGTGGACGGGCCCAGCTCTGAGCACTCCTGTCACTGACTCATTCTGTCTTCTCAACAACCCTGTGAGTAGGTGCTGCTATTGGATTCCTTCTAGGAGGGAAACTGAGGCACAGAGAGGTTCAGGACAGGCCTGAGCTCACCCAGCTCATGGTGGGAGGGTGTGGACCTGCACCCGAGGTACCTCCCAGGCTCTGACCACTGAGCTCC